ACTGAGACTGCTTCATGTTTCTGTGTTCTTAGTGAGACTGCTTCATGTTTCTGTGTTCTTAGTGAGACTGCTTCATGTTTCTGTGTTCTTAGTGAGACTGCTTCATGTTTCTGTGTTCTTAGAGAGACTGCTTCATGTTTCTGTGTTCTTAGTGAGACTGCTTCATGTTTCTGTGTTCTTAGTGAGACTGCTTCATGTTTCTGTGTTCTTAGTGAGACTGCTTCATGTTTCTGTGTTCTTAGTGAGACTGCTTCATGTTTCTGTGTTCTTAGTGAGACTGCTTCATGTTTCTGTGTTCTTAGTGAGACTGCTTCATGTTCTGTGTTCTTAGTGAGACTGCTTCATGTTTCTGTGTTCTTAGTGAGACTGCTTCATGTTTCTGTGTTCTTAGTGAGACGGCTTCATGTTTCTGACACGTGTCTTGACTGGTTTTATTGTCATGGCGACACATGTCTTTAGCCCAGTGGTTCTCAAACTTTTTCTGTCGGGCCCCCCCCAACACAAATAGTCAGGCTCAGTGGCGGCGCCAGAGATTTATTTTGGGGGTGCTGTGGGGTAGCTTGACGTTTCGTAGAGGGTGCTCAAACATTTAGGGTTTCCCATTAATGTACCGGGCGCTACAGTGGAATGTTCTACTGCAACACTCCCCACGCACACACACAACGTACCCGCGACTGTTACCATGAAGGCTCGATAATCAGCTCACGGCATATAGGTGTAAGCAGGGGTCAAGTGTTATTTTTATAGGTGGTGTGTGGACCTCACATAGGGGGGTCCGGGGGCAAGCTCCCCGGGAAGATTTATTTTTAAATATTGAAGTTAAAAGCATCAATCTGGTGCACTTTGAGAGCAACATGAAGAGATCTATGGACACCTCTCAACATCCAGATGAAACAGAACTGTGAACAGATTTACTTTTTCTTTATGGATATTTTACAAATCACCCTTTTAAACTTTATTCTTGTTTTACTGTCATATAGTATTTCATACCTGTTTTTCATTTATTCTCTTGTTTTTTTATAACTATAATGATCATATAAACGTGTGCCTCGGAAATAATTGTTTACATTAATGGTGACCAAAACGTTTGAGACCCACTGAGATAACACTGAGAGTCCTTTAGCTCACTGAGTCTCTCAGTTTGACAGGAGAGGACTCTCCTCCACTTTGTTGTCCTTATATCAACAACGATCTCCGGTACCGGTGCGCTCTCTCTCTCTCTCGCTCGCGCACACAAAATGGCTCATTCCACACACAGAGAACACAGAGACCCAGACGTAATAGTACTGCATCATCATTTTTTCGAATCAATAATAAAATAATGATTATTTTTTTTTTATAACCATTTGTCCTCCTGGTCTCTCGCGCCCCCCACTTTGAGAACCACTGCTTTAGGACGATGGGGAGGCTTTTTATCATTGATAAACATGACATTTAACTTCAATTTCTGTTTTTGTTGACTGCTGTTTTACAAAAGTAAATAAGGGAGAATCTTTTGGTTTGGGACCAATGTATTCATTTAGAAAATGTCTTTGGCAGATTACTGGATAATACAAATATCCGTTAGCTGCAGCCCTGGGTGATGTCTTTTGTGTCTTGACTCGTTTTATGTCACACAGTTCTCCTGCTTTTATTGTCATGACGGGACAGATCTTTGGGATGAGGGTAGCGTTTTATCCGCAGAGGAACTTGTCTAGTGAACTCAAACCTGCCAGCTAATCTCTGAAATGAAACCATGGATAGTTTGATAAGATTGCTGTGATATTTGTGCAATTCCATTTCCATGGTTCTTTTGCCAATAAAAACAAACACATTTAGTAAGGACTGTTTTTGACTCATAATGTCATGGGGTTGTTGACTTGAGAACTTCTGCAGATAAATACATTAAGAAAGATATATTTTGACTGTTCATGTGATATATTCTGGGCACAGACTTTCAGAAGATCTCTGGTTTCTTTAAACAAACATAGAATTTATGTGCCAGATATAAAAAATGTTCATGTGTTAACTGCGAACCACAATGTCTGTTTGTTCACTAGCCAATTACAAAACCAAACTAAAGACAAATAAGAACAACTTTCAAGAATTCATCTTGTGTTGCAATTCTGCCGATTTGGTAAAATAACTCCAGTCTCGAGATATTTCTGTTGCATGCCATTCCCAATCTTCACCAACAATTTCTTCTCATCTCCATAATATGACTCCCCCATCGAAACAGCAAAAGCTTAAAAATACTTGAAGAATAAATCTGTGGGAGAGAAAGGAACACAGGGAAAAGTGGTTTAAAGGTCAAAGATGGGTTCGGGTGACAGTGAAACAGGAACATGTGTTGTCTGGGGATGCAAAAAGGATGAAAGGAATATAAAAGGTTAGAAAAGTGTCAAAAGAACGTGTCATATGAGACTTTGGTTAGGGGTGTTGTCAAATATCTGGAACAAACTCCGCTGCAACTCTGACTACTTTTAAATCCAGGCTGAAGACTTTTCTTTGAACTATTCACATCTCACACTGCACTGTAACTTTCATTCATGTACCTGTTGCTATTCATTCTTTGCTTTTTTAATGTTTCTAATGGGTTGTATGCTCTTAAAAGTCACCTGTTATGCAAAATCCACTTGTTCATGTCTCTTCTACATCAACATGTGTCCCCTCTTCTTCATGTCTCTTCTACATCAACATGTGTCCCCTCTTCTTCATGTCTCTTCTTCATCAACATGTGTCCCCATCTTCTTCATGTCTCTTCTACATCAACATGTGTCCCCTCTTCTTCGTGTCTCTTCTACATCAACATGTGTCCCCTCTTCTTCAATGTCTCTTCTACATCAACATGTGTCCCCTCTTCTTCATGTCTCTTCTACATCAACATGGTGTCCCCTCTTCTTCATGTCTCTTCTTCAATCAACATGGTGTCCCCTCTTCTTCATGTCTCTTCTACATCAACATGTGTCCCCTCTTCTTCGTGTCTCTTCTACATCAACATGTGTCCCCTCTTCTTCATGTCTCTTCTTCATCAACATGTGTCCCTCTTCTTCATGTCTCTTCTACATCAACATGTGTCCCCTCTTCTTCATGTCTCTTCTCATCAACATGTGTCCCCTCTTCTTCATGTCTCTTCTACATCAACATGTGTCCCCTCTTCTTCATGTCTCTTCTACATCAACATGTGTCCCCTCTTCTTCATGTCTCTTCTACATCAAACATGTGTCCCCTCTTCTTCATGTCTCTTCTACATCAACATGTGTCCCCTCTTCTTCATGTCTCTTCTACATCAACATGTGTCCCCTCTTCTTCATGTCTCTTCTACATCAACATGTGTCTCCTCTTCTTCATGTCTCTTCTACATCAACATGTGTCCCCTCTTCTTCATGTCTCTTCTACATCAACATGTGTCCCCTCTTCTTCATGTCTCTTCTACATCAACATGTGTCCCCTCTTCTCATGTCTCTTCTACATCAACATGTGTCCCCTCTTCTTCATGTCTCTTCTACATCAACATGTGTCCCCTCTTCTTCATGTCTCTTCTACATCAACATGTGTCCCTCTTCTTCATGTCTCTTCTACATCAACATGTGTCCCACTCTTCTCATGTCTCTTCTACATCAACATGTGTCCCCTCTTCTTCATGTCTCTTCTACATCAACATGTGTCCCCTCTTCTTCATGTCTCTTCTACATCAACATGTGTCCCTCTTCTTCATGTCTCTTCTACATCAACATGTGTCCCCTCTTCTTCATGTCTCCTTCTACATCAACATGTGTCCCCTCTTCTTCATGTCTCTTCTACATCAACATGTGTCACTCTTATTTCATGTCGCTTCTACATCACATGTGTCCCCTTTCTATGTCTCTTCTACATCAACATTGTGTCCCTCTTCTTCATGTCTCTTCTACATCAACATGTGTCCCCTCTTCTTCATGTCTCTTCTACATCAACATGTGTCCCCTCTTCTTCATGTCTCTTCTACATCAACATGTGTCCCCTCTTCTTCATGTCTCTTCTACATCAACCATGTGTCCCCTCTTCTTCATGTCTCTTCTACATCAACATGTGTCCCCTCTTCTTCATGTCTCTTCTACATCAACATGTGTCCCCTCTTCTTCATGTCCTCTTCTATATCAACATGTGTCCCCTCTTCTTCATGTCTCTTCTTCATCAACATGTGTCCCTCTTCTATGTCTCTTCTATCAACATGTGTCCCTCTTCTTCATGTCTTCTACATCAACATGTGTCTCCTCTTCTTCATGTCTCTTCTACATCAACATGTGTCCCCTCTTCTTCATGTCTCTTCTACATCAGCATGTGTCCCCTCTTCTTCATGTCTCTTCTACATCAACACGTGTCCCCTCTTCTTCATGTCTCTTCTACATCAACACGTGTCCCCCTCTTCTTCATGTCTCTTCTACATCAACATGTGTCCCCTCTTCTTCATGTCTCTTCTACATCAACATGTGTCCCCTCTTCTTCATGTCTCTTCTACATCAACATGTGTCCCCTCTTCTTCATGTCTCTTCTACATCAACATGTGTCCCCTCTTCTTCATGTCTCTTCTACATCAACATGTGTCCCCTCTTCTTCATGTCTCTTCTACATCAACATGTGTCCCCTCTGTGGAAAGAGACTCTGAAAGTTTCAGGAACAAATATTCTCTCTCTTTTTGATCCATTTCTATAAAAACCTGTCTGAAAATGAGCTGATCAGATTTTGGCCACTTTATGATGTCATAACTTGTGTCACAGCACATCACAAGTCAAATTTCAGACTTGATCTGACAAACAAAGTAATATCGTATAACGATTTTTTTTGGCTTGTGTAACCATTAGCCATTCAGCAACCAAGGAAACCAAACACTTCAGAGGCATGTTTTGTATATATCTGACACCTATAATATCTTGATGAAAAACAGTATAATATGGGACCTTTAATGTCTTTCATTTTTGTAAAGCACTTGCCTTGTGTTGAAAAGTGCTATATAAATAAACTTGCCTTCTTCTCCTGTTTAGGACCAGCAGGAGACAGACGTGGCCTCTGAGCCCCCCCCTCAGGAGGCAACGGGGGTCCGGGCCCGGTCCAGAGGAGCTGATGGAGGAGTTGGGGGTCCCGGAGGTAACGGCAGTGGTCCAGAGCAGAACGGGCAGCCCCCCCCTCGACCCCCCCGGGTGGTGGTGGAGGCGGAGGAGGACGACGATGAAGAGCTGACCCTGAAGTATGGAGCCAAACACGTCATCATGCTGTTCGTGCCCGTGACGCTCTGCATGGTGGTCGTCGTGGCAACCATCAAGTCGGTCAGCTTCTACACGCAGAACGATGGCCAGAGACTGTGAGTGAAAATACTTTTACTATCAAACAGAGATGGCAAAAGAACACGCATCCTTTACTCAAGTAGAAGTACAGATACTCGTGTTTAAAATACTCTGGTAAAAGTAGAAGTACTGACTAAACTTCTTTCCTTCAAGTCAAAGTAAAGAGGCTTTGAAATGTACTTCAGTAGAAAGTACCCATAGCTAGCAGCTGTTTTAAAGAGTACCTGACCTCCCTTTATATTAATAGAACAATAATGTCATTGTTAGCTAATGAATGTTTCCATGCTGAACAACGGCAACATGACAACGTTTCCATTGGTCCCTCTTCTTTAGAGAAGACCAGGAAATGATGGATACACGGATCGTGTTCAAATCAATAGGCACGCAATGAGTCTAAAGAATAATGATCACGCACCAAACACACATTCAGACTAAAGGAACCAGCTGTTTGGAAAATGAGAGAAGTAGAAAGTACAAGTATTTGAGTTCAACATGTAAGAAGTAGAAAGTACAGGTATTTGAGTTCAACATGTGAGAAGTAGAAAGTACAGGTATTTGAGTTCAACATGTGAGAAGTAGAAAGTACAGGTATTTGAGTTCAACATGTAAGAAGTAGAAAGTACAGGTATTTGAGTTCAACATGTGAGAAGTAGAAAGTACAGGTATTTGAGTTCAACATGTGAGAAGTAGAAAGTACAGGTATTTGAGTTCAACATGTGAGAAGTAGAAAGTACAGGTATTTGAGTTCAACATGTAAGAAGTAGAAAGTACAGGTATTTGAGTTCAACATGTAAGAAGTAGAAAGTACAGGTATTTGAGTTCAACATGTGAGAAGTAGAAAGTACAGGTATTTGTGTTCAACATGTAAGAAGTAGAAAGTACAGGTATTTGGGTTCAAAATGTAAAAAGTAGAAAGTACAAGTATTTGTGGAGTCGTCAGAAGAATAAGTAGTGGAGTAAAGTACTGATACCAGAGAAATTGTTTAAAGGGGACCTATCATGCAAAATGCACTTGTTGATGTCTTTTATACATCAACATGTGTCCCGGTGTGTCAGGGAACTCACGCAGCGTCAGAAAATAAAACCCTCTCTCTTTTCCTCCGTACCCAAATCTCTAAAAACGGGGAACAACGGAGCTGATCCAGATTTGCGTCCGATATGACGTAATATCTGAAATGTGGACCCACGGCCCAATCAGAAACGTTGCTATCAGAAACAATGCCCGACTGTTTTGGACGTAATATGGTCAGTGTTTACATTAGCATCGCTAACACTCAGAGCTAACCTGTACTGGAGAGCATGTGTGTGAAGAAGCAGGAAGTAAAAAGGAACTCGCCTTGTGGTATAACCGGCAAGAGAGAAAGCCTTTGAGCTCCAAACTGTTTCAGAGAGAATCCTTGATGATCCATGATATGGCGTTTCATCACGGCAGCATTTAGTTTAGACAGTAGCTGCCGGGTCCCGCATGAGCTCAGCCCCCTTTTTTATTAAAGCTTTATTCCCCAAATCAGCACTTTAGAAACAGGAAGTGAAATAGAGGGATATGAGGCATGGCTAGAATAGTCTGTTTAGTATTTTGAGCAAAACACTTCATATACATGTTTTTTATATAATTTTAGTAGGACTTTCAGTCGATTCAAATAGTTAATCGCGATTAATCGCAAATTAATCTCAACTTTTTTATCTGTTCTAAATGTACCTTAGAGTAATATTGTTCAAGTTTTTAATACTCTTATCAACATATTCTCATGAATATTAAACACAACAACCTCTGAACATTACAAATATTCACCTCAATTCAACCTGGAACCTCTCTCATACAATTGTGTGTGTGTGTGTGTGTGTGTGTGTGTGTGTGTGTGTGTGTGTGTGTGTGTGTGTGTGTGTGTGTGTGTGTGTGTGTGTGTGTGTGTGTGTGTGTGTGTGTGTGTGTGTGTGTGTGTGTGTGTGTGTGTGTGTGTGTGTGTGTGTGTGTGGTGTGTGTGTGTGTGTGTGTGTGTGTGTGTGTGGTGTGTGTGTGTGTGTGTGTGTGTGTGTGTGTGTGTGTGTGTGTGTGTGTGTGTGTGTGTGTGTGTGTGTGTGTGTGTGTGTGTGTGTGTGTGTGTGTGTGTGCGCGCAACTCAAGGCATATGCTCGAACGGGAGCTGCCTGGACGCTGCAATCATGTTGCGCACTATCCGTGCTGAGTGTGCTGACTTCTCGTACAATGTCCCACTGTCTGGCTTCCTGCATAAAGTCAAGTGCTCGGCGCAGTTGTCGGCGAAATGTCGCTCCTCTGTTTTCATTTAAACAGCTCCTTATATCCGTTAGCGCAGCTAGCTAGCACCAGATGCTAACAACAACAATACATGTAAGGTCTCTTTCTCGCTCGGGCCACACATACACACACCTTCCCGGTCCTCCCAACAGCCAGTCGGTGCCTGCCGGTGAGCGTGGAAGTGTGGTCTGCCGCAAGCAGGCAGCAGGAGCGGGGCTGTCAGCATCAGCTTGTAGACGGTGTTTTAAACTCGATGCGCTCTGAAACTACGGGGCGGCCGAGGAAAAAAATACACATGCGTTAATCGCGTTAAAATAATTAGTGGCGTTACATTTTTATTATTATTGTTATTAACGCGTTAACTTGACAGCCCTAATTTTTATATATCTGAGACCTATGCTATTGCCTAAAAATAGCATGATAGGTGACCTTTAGTACAGTAAACAAAGTATTTGTACTCCACTATTTCCCACCTCTGATATCAAATATAACCGCAGGGGGATTCTAAGTACGCTTCTAATGGTTTTTCAATGGAGAGTCAAATATTCTGCGTTTATTTTATGCAGAAATATCAGGACAACTTTTTTTTTTCAATCCCTCAAATATGGAAATGTCCTGCTTTTCTTTGTATACAAATAAAATCAATATCTTTGATTTGTGCACTGATTAAAGACATTTAAACATGCCAACATGGACTAAAGAAACTGGGATGGAATAGTTTTTTTCTTTCTATTTAAAAGACTAAACAATGAATTGATATGTAAATAAATAATCATTATCTTCAGCACTAATGCTAAGCTCACTATGTCTGGTGTTTGAAAGAAACGCAATATAGCCGTACTGCCACTAGATGGAGTTAATGCAATATCTATCAGACCTGTTTGGTTTAGTTGATGCATTTTGATCTGATCAACTCTCATACACATAGAACAAGTATTACTTATCTAAAGTATTGACAAACCAATGCCAGTTTAAACTGACTTAAAATCCTTTTTTACATTTATACTTTTGTGTAATTAAAGAAACTTAATCAAAAGTATATATATTATTTATACACCGAAACTCAAAAAATCTAAATCCTATACACATTAGTGTTCATACCGTAGGTTTCAATTTTCATCATACTTGTCTCATATTATTTATTAGTCTAATATTATAACATATTAGTTGGGCAGCTCCAATTCAATCTAAGTTCTGTATGATAAAGATCAGTTTTTTATGTTTTGCATGTCCCTCCTCAGACCTCCAGACAGTATGTAATGTATGGAGCTGTAATAAAGCTGCATAGTTTAAATACCAAGACGGTGCTGTAAGTGCAAACGATCATAAAGCAGAGTCTGATCTGGCTCAGGGCATTAAAACACTAAAACGTCATATTTATATTAAAGTCATATCCAGAGTAATGTTAACCCCCTGAAGCAGAATGATCTCACTTCATTCCATGGCTTAGTTGAATACTCTATTCTGATTGGTCAATTCAGAACACGTGACACGTTGTTAATCCAGAACAGACAGACCGCTGTCAAGCACTTATTGACCGTTGTTAAGGACGCTCACATCTGCAGAAAGAAGTCCGGTCGATTTAACTGTATACAGTTTGGCCGAACTGGGACAAGAAAACAGCGGAGAAGTAACGGGGCAGAAACCCTCCTTTTTACGCAGCGGTCCAGACATAGACATCAAACGGCGACACATATTCAGTGTGCAGTTTCTTTGGCATTAGGGCAGGGATATCTAGATACTCTCCAAGGTCTGACATCATGAAGTGTGCTACTTTTAAAGCAAGCAACGATGTTTTCAAATCTGTAATCAAAAAGGTCCTCAAAAACGCTATCTGAGCAGTTCCTGCCGTTGCTACGTTAGTTCAAACGGTAACAATGGACTATTTCTCTTAGCGGATGCATGTCATTTTAAATCAATAATAGCCTACTATTTTTTAAATCAATAAAAACATTTTCTAAATCTATAAAAGCATTTAAATTAATATTGGGAGTCATATCGTTACTTTGTTGAGAATGTGGCCGTGTAATAAGCGGGATAATGTGCAGCGACTTGGTCTAGATCCCTCCACTTCGCGTCAGGCTCGTGATCTGCCTGTCGGGTGTTCTTTTCCCCATAATGACCGCCTCGCTGCACATTATCCCTTACATAATAAGAGCCTCTGTATTTCCTTTACTGTATTTATTATATATCCTGCTCTGCCCCCCCCCTCAGGATCTACACTCCCTTCCCGGAGGACGCGGTGACGTTGGGACAGCGAGCGCTGAACTCCGTCATGAACGCCGCCATCATGATCACCGTCATCATCGTCATGACGCTGGTGCTGGTACTGCTCTACAAGTACCGCTGCTATAAGGTACTTCTCAAAAAATAACACATCCTGTTGAAACACTCCCTGCACAACTTAGTTTTTACAAGATTCAAGGCTTTATTGTCATGTGCACAGCAGCTACAGTGATGATATGGCAATGGAAAACTGAAGTCCCAGGCTCCTCCAACAGTGCAACAGGATGAATATATATATATATATATATATAGGACATACAACAAATAAAACAGATAACATTGTGCAAGAGAATGTCTTGAGATGTGTGGAAAATATCCTAACGATGTGTGTTTACCCCGGGTTCAAATAGGCCTTTTTAAAGCAGGCATTCAGACCTGACTTAGTAGGAAAAGCACAGGTTTAAATATTTCAAATAATGATGACTGCATTTTAATTCAAGTGCTTTAGTAGGAGAGTAGCTGTCCAGGTAATTTAAAGGGGACCTATCATGCAAAATGTACTTTTTGATGTCTTCTACATCAACATGTGTCCCCGGTGTGTCGGGGAACTCACGCAGCGTCAGAAAATAAAACCCTCTCTCTTTTCCTCCGTACCCAAATCTCTAAAAACGGGGAACAACGGAGCTGATCCAGATTTGCGTCCGATATGACGTAATATCTGAAATGTGGACCCACGGCCCAATCAGAAACGTTGCTATCAGAAACAATGCCCGACTGTTTTGGACGTAATATGGTTGGTATTTACATTAGCATCGCTAACACTCAGAGCTAACCTGTACTGGAGAGCATGTGTGTGAAGAAGCAGGAAGTAAAAAGGAACTCACCTTGTGGTATAACCGGCAAGAGAGAAAGCCTTTGAGCTCCAAACTGTTTCAGAGAGAATCCTTGATGATCCATGATATGGCGTTTCATCACGGCAGCATTTAGTTTAGACAGTAGCTGCCGGGTCCCGCATGAGCTCAGACCCCTGCTTTTTTATTTTAAAGCTTTATCCCCAAACAGCACTTTAGAAACAGGAAGTGAAATAGAGGGATATGAGGCGTGGCTAGAATGGGTGATCTGTTTGGTATTTTGAGCAAAACACTTCATAGACATGTTTTTATATATTTTTATATATCTGAGACCTATGCTATTGCCTAAAAATAGCATGATAGGTGACCTTTAAATCAGGCACACTATTAACAAGTATTTACAGGTATTGGTCTCTTGACGCATTAAACATATAGCAACGATATCTCCTTCAACTAAAAACACCCAAACAAAAAAAATCAAACTGCAGCTGAGGAACCAGATAGCAGACCTTATTCTAACAACTCTTCCTGTCTACAAATAAATAACTTTTCAACCGTTACAAGAAGCTGACTTCAAAATAAAAGCATAAGTAACTTACAAAAATGTACTTAAATTATGATTACTATGTGCTAAACGTCATACAAAAAGATAATAATTAGCTTTAACAAACCCCCTGACTGTGATCTTCTCCTCCCAGGTGATCCAAGGCTGGCTCTTCCTCTCCTCCCTCCTCCTGCTCTTCTTCTTCTCCTACATCTACCTCAAGTAAGCTCAACCTTTGATCTCAGCTCCCACATATTCTTATAAATGTCCCGATGTCTTATCTTCACCATGCTCTGTGTAACAGGGAGGTTTTCAAGACCTACAACGTGGCCATCGACTACTTCACGCTGGCGATAATAGTGTGGAACTTCGGGGTGGTGGGCATGATGTGTATTCACTGGAAGGGTCCTCTGCGGCTCCAGCAGGCCTACCTCATCATGATCAGCGCCCTCATGGCCCTCGTCTTCATCAAGTACCTGCCCGAGTGGACCGCCTGGCTCATATTAGCCGTCATATCCGTCTACGGTAAATCTTCCTCTCTATTCGGCTGCTTTAGAGAAGATGATGAAACCTTCAACCTTTGGGTGGAATGCTTTTTCTGCACCTGTGTTCA